TCCCAAAGGGTGCACAAGAGATTTGTTCAGACAAAGACTCTACAGAATGGATACCAGAAATAAGCACAGACCCCGTGTCTGTCATCACATGCCCCTGGCTTCTCCCTTGAAATTCTTCCTTGTTCCTAGCAGCTCTAATATGAATTTAGTAGAAGACACTTTATGCAGTGTCACATGGATAAATCCATCAGTGCCCAAAAAAAGCATCTTTGACCAAGGAGAGATGGATCCATAGAGATCAAAGTGATCTAGGTCTGCATTCTACTTTACAAGGAGCCACAGAGAAAACTTTCTGGTTATAGAGACATTTTCTTATCTATGCCCTTCCAACTCTAGGAATTCATTTGCTTGGATTCAATCCTAGTCCTGTTGTTCTTGGGCACAGCTGCTTCAATAAGGGAGACACAGTGAAGTAATGTCTTCCCAGCGGTGCCAGGGGAAATAACAGCAGATAATTCAAAGGCTCTGAGAGAAAAAGAAGTTGATGAGACACTCAATAAAAAATGTGACACTGAAAAAAAAAACCTGCTCCATCATCTTTGTGTGATGGAAACATAATTCAAAATCTCTCCTTGCATCACCACGCTGCCTCCTAATTACCATGTCCTACCCCCTGGTGCCCTTACCAGTTTCTTTCCTGTTGATTTACAGGGTAACTTTTAACAAGAATTCAGTGTGATTCCTTGCAGGAATCATCACATCCCTTCAAATCCTTATTTCCTTTCAATTCCTTGACATGCCTGGGAATGTTGCTTCCTCTCTATATTTTTCAGAGGAAGGACAGGAGGAGTGGGATGGAAACAAGGGCTGCAAGTTAAAGATTGATTTGACAGCGAGTCATGAACCACATAATCACCAACAAGGCCGCATCACTTCTTCTATTCAAATTCTTGTGCCGAGTTCAGTTCTGGCACACCTTGGCTCATTCCAGCTCAGTGCATTTTAGGCACTTTCAACACTAAATTGTAGACACACATCTGCAAATCACTCAAGGAACTCTCTCACTATTTGAGAGGGAGCCATGCTCAAGGGACAAGTCTGGAATATCTGGTTCCCACAGTGGAAAGCAAGACAGGGAACAGGATGGGAAAAATTATTTCATGCCAATCTATGGTTCTCCGTTTCATCAGCAGGCTTCTTTCCATCACAATTCAGATTTCTGGGGTAATCCAGATCTCCAGCATGACCTAGTCAATATAATAAAGACAGAAGCTAAAGGCGGGATTTTTCTGATCAAATGTAGACACCTAAATGTGATTATTTAGAGCTGACACGGTCAGCCTTTATTCCATGTGTCCAGAGAGAAAAAACAGACATCATCTAATCTATGTTGAGAATGAAATAAATTATGTCTCAGGCTCTGCTTGGTAAACACCAGAACTACAAACTGAGGAAGGCAACTTGTTCATTTGTAGTGCAGATGCAATTGCAGGTATCAACATTTAATTAGATAAATCCCCTACTAAATGCACCTAAGCCAGGAAACTCTCATTAATATCTGAGTAACTCCTGTGTCAGTCATTCCTAGCCCCAGGACTGGGAACAGGTCAGAAGAGTCTGGATGGGAGAAATAGAAATAAAAAAGGGTGCATGTGGATCAGCAGTGAGATTTATCAATTCTGATCTGGAGAAAATACCTGGAGGGTTGGTGAGAGCTAGAAGAGGGTCCAGCACAAACTGGGGCAGCTCCACAGTAGGAAAGGGATGAAAACACAAACAAAGGAAATTGGAAACACTGATGTAAGAAATAGCCTGGCACCACTGCCTGGGGAAGTTGAGTATGGAGTAATCACTGCTCTCCTTCCTCTCTTGTCTGCCTTTGGCTTTCATTACTCCCCTTTATCAGTTTAATTCTTCCTCCAGAGCAAGGGAGTCAGATTCTGGGTCCTGCTGAGATTTCATTTCCTTCAAATTCTCTTTTCCATTCAGGTTGTTAGTGATGACTGAACGGGAATGGACACATAGGGTCAGCACATGCCCCCGATTTCTTCTCCAATAAAGTTTCCTAAAGAATTTAAAGCATTTAAGAGGAAGAATCCATCATAAAACTAATGGAAAAAAAATAAACCAAACAGAAAATCTCAAGGCAATCATTGCCTCTGAAGCATTAAAGGCAGGGCCCAGCAGCAAAAAGAGAGAAAACTGCTGTGAAGAATAAAGAAATAACAAGCAGAACATCTGGGCATGAGAGGTAGAGTGGGAGAGAAAGGAGGAAACGTCAGAAACCCCATTTGGTCGACGTTTGTGTTCACTGAACACAGCAAGGGGGTAAAGCAAAGGCAGCAGAGCTGAATTCTTGCAAAATGTAGGAACCAGAAGTTGTTGTTCCTCTCTTGCCACCCAAGGATGGGGCTTCCCATGCAGAGAATTGCCAGTGCAGAAAACAAGGTCTCTGAACAGGTGCCTTGGAGAAGCACCCTAATATATTATAATATTGTTCTAGATGGTAGAAACACATGCAGAAATACAGAAAACAGAGACTGTTCATGTTCCAGACCCAAGTTCTGTACCTGACCCTCTTTGTATTACCTGCCACAAGAGGCAGATTTTTCTTTTAAGTCACAGTAACTTGACCATGTCCACAAGCCCCTAAAGACTTCCTAAAAGCTCATGATTCCATTTCAGACCTTGCAGCCCCACTGAGGAGAAATAAATTCTCAAAAAATTTATATATTGAATTTTTTCTATGGGAATTTTCAGGCAGGAATAGTCAAAGAGGTAATTGTGTGCTTCTCCTCTGAATAAACAGTATTTTATTCACCAGTCAGGAGGGATTTCTTCCTTCTTTCAGCTGTTTCTGACAAGCAAGAGAGTTATTCCTTATCTTTCTCTTTCTTTGAAAGAAACAAGCTGATAACATTTCTCCACTGTTATCATTAGTAAGTCCTAGGGCTGAATATAAAAAGAGTTATACGGGGAAATTTTCATTTTTCCCAAATAAAAAATAGTTTGTGTGCAGAAGGAGAAATTCAAGAGGAATCAACACCCTGAACTTCTGACTGCTTAATTTCTGGAGAGTTACTGCATCTTCAGGGAGTTTTGTTGTGAAAGATCTCCCACAAATTCAAGCAGTAAGGAGGTGGTAGAATTTTGTTGATATCATTTCACTAAGGAGATCAAGCTTTGTTGAGAATGAGGTAGGCAGGATCTGGCTTGAAATAAGTATCGTGAAATAATGAAAGGTGAGTCTCGTGCTCAGGACTTAGAAGTGAAATGCTGTAATCCCAGAGGTGAAGCATAATAAATTTAAAACATATCTACAAAAAAAATTTAAAAAACAATTTAAAATGCAGAGAAAAAGGAAAGCAAGCAGGATCCATGTAATAAAAATGCTTTCAAACATGAAATACACCAGAATCCTTCACTGGGAGATTAATCTCTTGGAGGGAATATGTTGGGTTTTTTTTTAATTCTAAGCCACATCAGATGTAGAACTCATTGCCACAGGATGTGGGGAACAACTAAAAGATGCTCGATGAGCCTGGGAAAAATCTTCCCAGTGATTCAGCAAATACTGGGGGAGCAGAACAGGGAGCAGCTGGGTTCTGCTGGGGTGAGAGCCTGAAAGGATCCAGTCCCTTCCTGCCTGAGTGGGTGGTACAATTTCATCCCATTGAGATGCAAAAACCTTTTCCAATGGCTCTGGGCTTCCTCCATCTCTGTCCTTTCCATTTGGGACAGGCAGGGGGAGGAGTTCAGTGTGAACAGTCCCCAGCTGTCAGGGTTATTCTGCATTTGGGTGGTGAGGTGCCTGGTGAAATGGTCTCCTCTCACCTGGGAAGTTCTATGAATTCCTGAATCCAAACAATAGCCATTGCATAAAGCAGAAGAAATAGGTCTCATCATCACCATTCTGGGGGTAGGAGACAAGAAATTGGCTTTTTCCCCTTTTCTCCTTGCTCATGCCACTTCTGGACCAGGGAAAAATTGGGAAGCTCGTGTGTAGAGCATGAAGAGGATGTCAAAAGAAGAGGATGTCAAAACCACATCCCTGGTGGTGGAATGAACTGCCCAAGGTACGCTGAGCTTTCCTCACTTCCAGCACACCCCACAGTTCCTCTGCCCAGAGCTGGGCAGCAGAACAGAAATGAATTTAAGCATGAGATAAATCGGAGGACCTTGATGGAAACCCTCCTCTCTGATGGAAATTCTCCTGGCAGCTAAAATGCAGAACCAGGTTGCTTTAGAGGACCCTGACAACACAGATACCTGCATTCTGACCTCCCTTGCTTCTGCACTAAAACGTGCTGCAAGAAAAAGGGGAGACAAAGCTCCCCTCTTTTATCACACACCATGTGTTTTATCAGCTTTTCTCTGCGGTTTTATCAATTCCAGTCACAGCAGAAGCAGTTTGGACAGGACTCAGTAAATGGACCCTGATTTCCAATTAGTTTCTTTGTCATTCTTTGCCCTTCTCTCCTTGGTGCTGGCCACAGGCGGCTCCTGCTGCAGTCAGGAGGAAATAAGGCAGGATATTAAACTATAAATTTCTTTGCTCGCTGCCTCAGTTTCTTATCTCAGCAAAACCATGAGTATCCTTCATCAAGATTACAACCACCACAACGTTAATCCCTGCAAAGGGCCTCAGATCATGTGAGAGATACCCAAATTATTGCTGAGATGAGGAAGGAAAACGAGCTGCTCCAGAGCAGTGCTTTGTGTCACATCCTGTCCCCAAAGCTGTTGTCATCCAGGCAAAAATCATCCAGCCATCCTTTCTTTTTCATTTACTTTTTAAAAAAATTATTTGTTTTGCAGACATATTGTACCCTTAAGTAGAGAAACAAATTCCTGACCTCTGATAATAATCAGGAATGGTTTCACGCACCCGCATTGATTGAATTTTTGTTTTTAATTTCCCCAAGCTCATTCAGCAGCAGTGATGCTCCTCTTACCATGAAGTGTTTGCTTTGACAGGGCTGAAAACCCCTCCAGGCATCAGAGGAAATGGTGAAAACCACTTTAAATTGTCAGCTCGAGGTGCAGGATCTGAAACTCACCCGGAGAAGAGTCATTGAGAGGGTTCAGGGCCGTCGCCCTCCGGATCTTCTCCAGACAAGTCTCTTGCTCCTTTTTAATGATGCAGTTGGAATGGGTCGCTGCAACCTGAAATACAGGGGGAAATGGGGGAAAAAAAAACAGTTACAAAAATAAAATAGTTTGTCAGGTGATCAGTAAGTTTTAACAACCCACTGCAAGAAAAGAAAAAACAAAAACAGAAGCATAAGAAACAAAAATATCATTTAAAGTTGAGAAAAATACCTGTAACAAACTTAATTTTCTTTCCCTCTTTTCTTCTTTTACTCGTTTTTATTCTTCTAGCAGGTCTAAGGCCTAATTAAGTAATTAAAGTTCTCATACCTGTAACAAACTTAATTTTCTTTCCCTTTTTTCTTCTTTTACTCCTTTTTATTCTTCTAGTAGGTCTAAGGCCTAATTAAGTAATTAAAGTTCTCATAAATTATTTGGGGGTTTTATATTGTTTTCCAGGTCAAAACGTGATTTCTAACATGTTTGTTTTATTTTATTGAATTCTTTCTTCACATAAAGCTGAATAACGGTGTGTCTAAATACAGAAATAATTTAAAGAATAATTAGGAATAAATTTCAGCTTGGTTTGATCTTCCAGCAGTTTCTTATGAATCTTTGCACAATTAATTAAAATCTCTCTGGAATCTAAACAAAAGTAAAACCTGTTTCTCTTATTCTGTCACCCTGTTCATTCCTCAGTGTTACCTTTATTTATTTATTTCCAGAGAATTCAAGTCAAATTCTTTTGCCAAAAATAATACAATGTCAAATAAACCAGGCTGACTTGATCCAAATATTTTCTTTTTTTTTTTTTTTCTGTTTTCTATCTTTAACTCTTTAGTACAGCCCACTACATGAAATAAGTAAAAGGGGAAAAAAGAAAGGAAGAAAAATTTAGTTTATGAGAGGAAGATTGCAGCCAACACAATCCAGGCAATCCCAAAGCAGCAGCAAAATAAGGATGTGACCCATTTCTGGAAATCAATACAGGACTTCAATCCTATAGCAGACAGTGGCTAGAGAATATCAATTAAAGGAGAATAAAACCTCAGATTTCATGAGATCATTTTATAGGGGCATGACTGAGGTTCAAATCCCACCAGTGAAAAACACCATGAAATTCAGTGCCCTGGCTGAAGGTGATTTGCCCTTTTCTGACCCAGACATGGGGCAGCTGAGAGGTGTTTCATTTATTCTATTTTTATTCTATTTATTTATTTTTATCCTATCTATTCTATTTATTTTTATTCTATTTATTTTTTATTCTAATTCATTTATTTTATTTTTAGTCTCATGTGAAGAGTGAGACAATAGAGATGTTGTAATTCTCACCATTACAATTAGAATTACACTTCCAAATTAATATATTTATTAAAAGACTTACCATAAATACAGACCCACAAAAATTACCAATACTTCACAAAAAACCAAGACTTTCTGATTATAAACAAAGACAGTAATAAAATTCTTAGACTTTAAATTTTTCAACTGTCATCTCAAGAAATTATAATGAAGACTGATAATTTCGGCTCTTACTTGCAATACTCTAATAATAAATCAACCAAAAACAGCAATAACTATTATTATTGCATTACCAATAAATATAAATAAACATGTTATTTACCAAAAAATATCTTGTAAAAACTTTAACCCAATGTCTAATGTCCTTTAGATAAAATGTATCAGCAATGAACAACCAAGGCTAATACACATTCTAAAACACCTTAGTAAAACAATTCATATTACAAGCATACTAAACACAAAACCAAATGTGACTATTATTTCTCAAGCAATTAAATTAACAACACATATAAATACTCTCACAAAAATTTAAAAAACTACCTTATATCTACAAAATAAAATCATAATTACTGTTACAAATCCCCAAAATAAAAACAAACAGCCATCGATCCCTTCATAATACAAAAACCCATCACAATATTTAAAAAATTAATTATCCCAATAGAAAACAAAAAAATAAAAATTAATTTGTAATAAATATTATAATATTTGTGGTTCACTGAAGCACTTTTGTTCTTTTATTTCCCATCCCATTTCCTTCACTTTTGACAATGGAAAAACAACAGAGGAAGTGATGTGGGACCTGCTTCCCTTTATCTGCTAAGCAGGGACAAGCAAACAGGGACAGAAATCCCAAAATTTCATTTACTCAGGGACAGAAATCCCCAAATTTCATCTACTCTGGGTTCATTTGTTTCCCCATCTGCACAGTTCAACTTTCCTTCCCTCACATCCCAGGGAATGGAGTCCCAAGGCAGGTGGAATCCTTTCAGCAGCAATCCTTCCTTCCTTTCTAAGCCTAAAGTGGCTTCTAAAAAAGAGGGAGAGAAACTTCTGCACAGGCAAATAGTGACAGGAGAAGGAGGAATGGATTTAAAATAAAAGAAGGGGGATTCAGAGCAAGATTTAGGAAGGAATTGTTCCCTGTGAGGGTACAGGTTCCCAGAGAAGCCCCTGGATCCCTGGAAGTGTCCAAGGCCAGGCTGGACAGGACTTGGAGCAACCTGGAATATTGGAATTTGTCCCTGCCAGGATAGAGGTTGGAATGAAATTTATCTGCAAGGTCCTTTCTAAGCCTTACCATCCAGTGGATCTGTAAAACTCCAGTTTGATGGTGCTTGTGTTGTGCTTTTGTTTGTGTGATGATGCTCTGAACCATCTGCACACTTTTTTTTTTGGTAAATGTTAAAAGCTACCACTGCTATTTCAAGGAGAGAGAGGGTTTCCTGATGAGCTCTCCTGGAAAGCTTTCCTGGCCATTTGTAGGAACTCATAATGCTGCACAGTTTCATCATCTCCAAGATCCCAGTAATAAATTTCAGCTATTTCCCCCCGAGGGACACACCAGGCACAACCATATTAGATTTGTTTGTCTTCAAAACAAACACAGCTCTCTTTTAAGGGCTCCCAAGTGCCTGGAAAAGATAAATTGTCACAGATCCCAGGATCTCCCAAGAACATAAGGGCTTTTGCTACATCATCCCCTAAGCATCCCCAAAGATAGAGAAAATTGCATTGGCTGACATTCAAGTTCTTAGAATATCTTTTAAAAAGATAAAGGGAAATAACAAGAAAAACAGAGTTCTGCTGTTAGTGCAGGTTCACTCTCCACAGTTGCCCAGGTCTGGAGCATCCAGGGGTTGTCTTAACACACAAATGTGGCAGCTTCTATGCAGTACACCAGGCACAGATTAGAAAACCTGGCATTTAGTAATAATATTGTAGTAATAATAATAATAATAATAATAATAATGATGATGATGATGATGATGGTGCATTGTTTATGGCAAGCAGGACATGACTAAACAAAAGGAAATTATTCTTCACACACTTCCTGTTAACTTGCAGAACTCTTCAGCTTGAAATTGTGGATGATAAATGCCACACATAGATGCCTATATTTATCCAAAGTCCATCCAAGGCTTTGGAGGCTAGTGAGACACCAGAACAGGTTATTCCAGGTTATTCCAGGTTATTCCAGGTTATTCCAGGTTATTCCAGGCTGTCCCATCCCTGAAAGTGCCCAAGACCAGGCTGGATGGGGCTTGAAGCAAGCTGGGATGGTGGAAGGTGTCCCTGCCCATGACAGGGGGTGGAACTGGATGAGCTTTAAGGTCCCTTCCAACCCAAACCATTCTGTGATTCCACTCTAGAATATTAAGAAACCCACCGTGCCCCTGTTCTCAGATACATTTGATAAGAAAATTTAGATTCAATCAACAGTGAAAAGACAAGAGTGTGATTTATCAGTTTTTTGGGGTTTTTGGGTTTGGTTTTTTTTGGTATCTTCTTTGCTAGAGGTGTATAAAAGTCAGGACTTGGTTGATTGTAAAGGAAGACAAAGTTTTAAAGCCCAGACTTTACTGTTCTCCTTGCAGACTGGCACATTTAGTCAGAGATCCCTGACTAAACTGATGAAATTTAGTCAACTGTATCCCACTAATTCCAGCTTAGGAGACTCAGGTGTGGATAGAGAGAACACCAGAGCCACGTGCTTCACTTGTCCCTGCAGCTTTCCTCCAGCTTTCACGGTTGCCACAATATTCTAATGTGACTTCCCATCACCATCTTCATGCTATTTCGTAGCACTTCATCAACAGATTTAAAAAAAAAAAAATTTTGGGAAATGTGGAAACCGAAACAGAAAGCAAAGAAAAGGAGGAAGCATCACCCCTAGGGTCAGAGGAGAGAATAGGAGCTGCCTGTCATCCCTGCTACAAGAAATTCAATATCTGGGAAAACCAAAAAGGCTTGAATTGTTCATAACAAAAGACATTATTATTCTGTTTTAATTGAAGGGATAGGACCACAAAAAAACAATGTATTGCTCTGATAAACATCAGCCTCAGAGGCTGTGAGATTTTAGAGGAGCAAGCAGTCAGCCATAGCACAGAGTAGTCACCAGTTCTTTGTTACAAGACAATACAGAACTTTATAAACCAATGGACAGTTACCACAGGGTTTATTTTGTTTTTCTAACCTATCACCTTTACTTAATTTTGCTGATTGTGGATACTTTTATCCAATGGGCTTCTCTGTCACATGCACACATATGCTTCTGTTATAACTTCTAAACTCTTAGCTTGCTCTATACAAACACATTACTACATTATAAACCCTTCACCTTCTTATTAATACAGCTTTTTACTTACTTAAGGCATATTCTTGCTTACAACTACAGAAACATAAGTTTATGATTTTCCTGCTTAATGTCTGTGTACTGTATTTTTACATTAATCCAAGCTTCTTCTAAGGTTTCAAATGAAACCTTCCTGTAGCTGTGGAAGTCTCTGTTTTTCCCACATTGGAAAGTGGAAGTTCCACATGGAAGTTTCCATTTCCCACAAGAAGATTTGTCTGTTGAATGCAGAGACACTTAAATGTTATCACATTTTCCTGAAAGGATCCTGGGGCTGGATGTTTCTCCATTGACCATGGAGTGGCAGAACCTTTAATCTGCCAAGTCAGGCTTTAGCAAGTGAAAGCAGAGCCCGATTCCAAAGGCAGTGTAAGCCTGAACTCCAGGCCTTGTGATTCCATCGCTTCTGCCTCAA